ATCCTTCCTGCCTCAGCCTCAGCCCTCAACGTAAGCTCGCTATTCCACACTGGCAAATGTACTCCTATATGCCTTTAAAAAAGATCAGAAGAGATCTGCCACAAAACCTCTTGAAAATGAAGAGAAAATCAGGGCCAAGAAAAAGAGAATCAAGCCAACATACTTATGGTAAAGGTTACCCAGTTGCCATAACTGAGCATAAAACTTGAGGGTTCTTAATTTCTTTGTAGCCAGAAAAAAGGAAATAGTGCTCTTTATAAAAGCTTCCCTTTATTGATTCTCTACCACCTTCAAGTCACAGCAATAATTTAAGCACTATGAGCAATAAAACCAACTTTATGTAATTAAATGACCAGTTCCTCAGTTAAGGAAGATACCACATATACTGACAAGCTTTAAGTCTTACTTTGTCAAACAATGAGCAAGGCTTGTAAGCACCTCCATATTTTTCTGGCAGGAATTTCCAAGTTGGACAGACACTAATGCTCTTTTTTCCACAAAGAACTATGAGAAAATAAACTCAAATCTGGGATTACTAACTTCAACAAACTAAAGAAAATCACACTGAATCTGACTGAAGCCTTAAGCATGTACCATGTTAATGTCACCAGTTAGATGAAGGTGGCTGTTTGAAAACTATCAAGACTGCCTCACTTAGGAGCAAGAAGGCAGTAAAAAGAAAAATCTAATAAAGTCACTGCTTTTATTAATACATTGTCAAAGCAGGAAAATGAGTATTTTTGAAACAGTTACTAGAAACATGTTTGAATGACTAAATACATCTTAGAATCTGTAAAAAATGCATAAAGATGTGTTTACTGTAGATGAATGCCACACTGAGTAAGATGCGGTTTAGCTTTGATAGAAGAGCAGAGAACACCTGAATTCTTGAATCAATGGACAAATTATTTTAACTACACCTTAGTTTACCAGACCTACATGAGGGTGTCAAATCAAAATGCCATTCAACTCTTCCCAATCTCACCCTATTCAGGCCTGTGACCATGTCATCTCTCAAAGGTGTCTCACCCACATTACTCTTAATTCATGGCATTTATCACAGGGCCTGTCAAACACTGTCTTCCCCCACCAGAATACAGCTCCCCTCACAGTCTCAGCCAGTGGTGTTGCGCCCCAGGCTGGAGCAAAGAAGCACCTGGCAGGCATGCAGATGGCTTTCCAATGAAAGGACAGACCTGTGCTAGCTCCACAGTTCAGAATATCAGGTTCCATGACGACCCTTGCATACATGTAAACATAAAATTCTAGAAGTTATTTAAAAACATAACTTTCAATAAACAAGCTTCAGGGTATAGGACCTGATCATCAATGTTAGTAAAAATTACACTAATATGCTATTACTCAGGAGCTACTATAAATGGTCAGGAGGCTGGGTTCAAACCTTGACTTACTCATTCCTGTGTAACCTTTCCTATATCTCCTTGCTTCAGCTTCACCTTAGGTAAAATGGGAATAAAAATTGTACCTGCTTCAGTGCCAAGGGGATTAAGTAAGAATGCATGTAAACTGAGGGAAAGACTTGGTGAAAAACTCCTGTTTATTATTTCTCCCCTCAACTTCAAACTGAAGACAGAGCAACGGCAACCAGGGAAATTTACTTTTATTTGAAAAGTATATACACTACAGTGTTCATTTTGTTAAAACAGATTATTTTCACCGCATAAAAACAGAGACGATCAGAAGTCTGTGGTTATACATGCTTTTCAAATAACAAGTAAAATGTAAAAATGTGCTGGTGCAGCAAAGGCTAAAGGAGACCAGGGAACAACGAAGCTCAAGCTGAGACCTGTGGCCACCAACTAGGTCACCATGCTTGTCATCTCTGTGGCTGGACCTCACTGGGCTGTCCACTGACAGGCCCTGGATTCCACCTGATGGTGGTCCACACAGCGAGGTGGTCCAGCCAGTGCACTGTTCAGGCACACGGGTGCCCACCAGCCCTACATTCTTAGGCCCTACAACCCCTGGAGGTTCTGCCTTAAGAGAATACACAGTACACATACAGTGCTTCGGAGGGCGGGCAGATTTAGACCCACGCAGATATCAACCCAGTCATCTGAATTCACAATCTGTGGGGCAGCTTCTGAAAAGTGGCTGTGCCACGTCTGTCCTCTGTACAGGGGCTGGCTTGATATGGACAGGCTTGTGGCTAGGTAGGCCAGCAGGTGACAGTGACATGGTTAGTAGCTGGCGAGTCTCTGAAGAGCTGTTAGGTTCTGGATCCAGGCACTTGACTGTTATGTTGGTCACATGGGGGCTCTGGATACAGAACATAAGCCTCTCTATGATATGGTCATTTGTAAATCCTGAATTTGTTCCCACGTCTGTTCCTTTTAGGACACAGAGGGACTGGGGCAAGTTTCATAGGGTCCAACTTCTACCTACTTTGTCTAGGATAAGGTGGAACATAACTTTGGGAGCCTCTACCACAACAGAAATGGCTTTTGTCACATACTGCAGCCAGTCACGCTAAAAGAAAGAGCTGGAGCCCCAAGAACCATAAGCAGGTGACTCTGGGAATTACTTCCCGGGGATGATGGTGGCAGCAGCCCAGCCACTGTAGCACCAGTCTACAGCAACTGGGACATTCGTTTCAGCCCAAGGACGTTGTCTGAGAGTCTCATGCCACTCATTCGCAGCAGCACATTTTTAATTCCAAACTAAGCAAATAAGTACTATATGGGGGAGGTAAAATTAAAATAGGAAGATTTAAATAAATTATGCTTAAAGCCTCATAATACAGTGTTCATCCTCTGAAGCAGAGAACATTAGATACTGGTCTCCATACAGGAGGGAAGGGTGAATGGACAGGATTCCTCCAGATGCCTAGTTTGTGAAAACCTCCATCATCTGAGGGGAAAGCATACTATGGCTCAGAGTTGGCTCAAATGACTCTTAAGCACTGGCATAAGCCTAAGGCCACAGAGTGAAATGAGTCACCCAGATCAATAAAAACAATCAATTCCATAATAGAAGTTGATGTGTATTTTCTGTTGCCTAGAATCTGGGTCTTCTTTAGCCAGTGAGTATCACATGACTATAGGAGAGAAGGGGAAATGAAGATTTACACAGTATGTACTATATTGTAGTAAATACTACGGCTTTTTCCTACTTGTAACCAGTGTGTTAAACTTAGTGTTTAAGACAAAGTTTTGCCTGGAGCCTGGCCACCTGGGCTCCTCCCTTTACAGCTGTGGGATCTCAGTAAGGTGATAATTTCAATGTGTCTCAGTTTCCCCATTTGAAAAAAGGAGCTACCATCCAATGAAGTGGTTACCTGTGTTCTGACAGAGAACAGGTTGATTAGCTCACACAGCAGCATCTGGCATACAGCAAGCACTCTATGTATGTTAGCTACTTTTCATTTTCTTCATAGCACTCTTGTGAACAAATGAAAACCCTGGAATTAGGTAAGAGTCTTCAATTTATAGAGGCAATTTTGCAAAGACAGTCAACTTGTTCAGAGTCACAGAAAATGACAGAGATAAAAGCCATTCTTTTCCCACTATACAAAGCTGGCCACATTATTTATGCTGTTACCATCAAGGCCTACGACAAAATAAAGAAGTCCCATACCACTCAATGAGTTAGACTTCCTCTGGGAAGTCAGATCATGCCAAAAGGAAATGAGTATGCTAATCTTGACATTTCATCTCCACTAAAAAATACTTACTGTCTTTCAGGTACAGATGCTAAAGAACACTGCTGTCACACCAAAAAAGCAACCAGCCAGCTCCTAGTGAGTTAGGTAGACCCAGACCTTTCAAAAGCGAGACTTGTGGGAACTCACACAGAAGAGGGAAGGAGAGGTGGGCGGGTGAAAAGATCCACTACAGAACATCAAAAACGAAAAATGTACACATGTGTTTTTCTCCCGTGGCACCTGTAATGACTTCTTAAACTGAGGCCAACAGCGCCCAATCTTAGTGAATGAGCTGGCTCGGTTCCAGGACACACACAGCTCTGCTATCCACAGGCTCAAAGCCTGCAGGGTCCTTTTTTACGCTGACAGCTCACAAGTCACGTTAAACAACTGGAAACAAGATGCCAACGAGCACATAAGATGGGCTTGGGTCTTTTGTTCCTTTCTTTCTTCAGGGATCGTATTTTTAGATGCTGTATTTAATACGCGACATCAAACCCGGGCGGTTTGGCCACCTGATTCCCGGGCGTGAATAGGGCCCGGGACCCCCGCGCCCATCCGTCCCTCCCTCGCTCCTACCGCGGGAACACGGGCTGCCCGGGACCGCCCGCCATCTCCTCCGCCCTTCCGAGGGTCGCCCCGGCCAGGAGCGCGCTGTCAGTTTCCTCCACTCGCCGCCCTCCCCAGGGCGGCCACCGGCGAGGGCGAAGAGCGTGAGCGCCGGTGGCGGGAAGCGGCCCGGCGGGACGCCAGGGCGGCTCGCAAGTGGGCCCCGTGGCCCCGGACGCCCGCCCGCCGCTGCCCACTCACCGCCGCACTCGGCCGAGTACTGGTCCCCCCAGTCTCCGGCCTGCGGGCTGCAGCCGCCGCCTGCGGGGGCCTCCTGCTTGAGCAGGGACAGCGGCGAGTAGTGCTCGGTGGCCAGGGCGGCAGGGCGAGGCGCGGCGGACAAGACGCCCAGCAGCAGCACCAGGGCGCGCCGGGCAGCGCCCGCGGAGGCCGCAGCGGTGCCCGAGCAGCAGCAGCAGCAGCAGCAGCAGCAGCAGCAACAGCAGCAGCCACGGCCCGCAGGTGCCATCTTTCCCCAGGGCGCATGCGCGGCGGCACTCGCGCGCGCGCCGGGGTCTCCCAACCTGACCTGCCGGGGGCCGGGGCCGGGGCCGAGCCCGAAGGGGGGGAGCGGAAGAGGCGGGGCCATCCCGGAAGGGGCGGGGCCTCCCGGTCGGGCGGCGTAGTCCCGGTCGGGCGGCTTGGTCCGCATCTCCGGGTCTGGGACTACGAGTCCCGGCAGCGCAGGCCTTCCGGGCCGGGATCTGACGTCTTCCCAGTCGCTGAATGGGAAGCTGCCGGCCGCCGTCGCGAGGAAATGGGCCCTGGCGGGCGGAGTGGACCGCGGTCGGGCCAGGGGGACGCGGAGGGGGCGGTGTCGGCTTCTACAGCTGCCGCGGCCTCCTGCCGGTACAAGTGCATCGAATGCAGCCAGGAGGCCAGGGAGCTGTACCGCGACTATAACCACGGCGTGCTGAAGCTGTCCATCTGCGTGAGTTGTCGAGCGTGGGGTGTCCTCGGGAAGAAAATGGCGCGGCGTCAAATTTGGGGGCCATGAACGGCAGTGGGGTCTGTGTCGGCTTTTTAAGGCGGTAAAAATCAACGAGTTTCAGGGTCTCCTGATACAGCCTTCAGCTGATGCTGGCCTTGCCGTCCGGGATCCGGCGAGCCTGGTACCGAAACACCTCGGCAGGAGCGAACCCGCCGCCCTGCGCGCTCGCCTCCCACCGTCACGTCCGCTGGTGAGACCCAGCGGGGCGACGGATCTTCCGGCGCAGGTGGATGGAGGCGTTGTGCAGAGACGTTTAAAGATCGGATTAGACTGACGTTAGGTTCGCTCCAAAGCCATTTTATTCGTGGCTATTATCCCTTCGATAGACCAGCGTTACCATCCTTACACTCCATGACCGAGGTTAAATTTTCCTGGAATTTTTTTCATCAGGTGTCATCTATTGTGGTTATTGGACATACAGTATGACAAAGCACTATGTAGGCATTGGTGATACAAAAACCAAACCCGAGGGAGTAAAAAATTTTTTTTCAAGGTGTTCATAGTCTATAGAAAATGAATTTATGTTTAAAAAGTCATAAAATTGGATGTTCTTTGGGGGGCATTAGCAAATAACATGTCACATAACGGGCAGTCAGTATGCTTTGTCCCATTTTTTTTTATCTCCTGGTGATTTTTTAATAATCCTCAACAGAAAAAAAATGGCCTGTAGTAATATACAAGTGTTCCTATTTAGCCATTGTCAACCAATATAATCACTGTTACTCTCACAGATGGTTTCCTCCACTTGGCAAAATTTCAACCCTAGTTAAATTCAGCATATTGCCTCATCTGTCCCTGCCCTCTTGTAGCTGCATGTTGCTGGGGGAAAAGACATCTTGAAGCCATGACCACTGAGCGCACGCAGGCCCCTGACGCAGTTTGGCAGTCACCTCGTTTCACTAGTGCACCCACATGCCCGCTCCTGGGGACGGTCATCACTGCGCCTTCTCCTCAAGTGTCCTCACCTACCCTGTTTCCTTTGCTAAGAAAACGGAGAACTTCTGCGAGCTTTGCGACCACACAAACCCAATACTAGCTAGCATTCATTTTTCATGTGCTCTGTCTTCTTACTACGGATGAACTGTTCGAATACTGTCTGAAGCCAGTGTGCCCTGTGCGCTAGATCCTGTTCTCTTCACTGGCTTAAGGACATCCCTGTAGCGATACTCTACTGCATCATTCCCAGCAACATGCATGCTATTTTTTTGTAATTAAGAAAGCAGCCCATTCTTGACCTCACTTCCTCCTTTGGCTCCTGCAGTTTTTCTCCTGCAAAAATCCTTGAAAAGATGTTTATATTTGCTGTCTTTATTTCCTCTCCTAGCTTCTCTTGAATCTACTTCAGACTTTCTTCCCACCTACCATCTCCCTAGACACTTTTGAAGATCACTGTTTGGATGACCTGTACTTTGCTAAATCCAGTGGTCCATTTTGAGTTAGCTGTCGGCAGCTGGACCCTCATGCCTGCCTCTCCTGGAAATGCCTGGTGCCCCTGCCAGGACGCCAGGCTCTTCCAGTTTTCTTCTCATCTCCCTGGCTATTTCTTCTCAATCTTCTTTCCGTTTCTGCCTTACCTCCTTACCTCTTAGTGGTGAAGTCCCTTATTGAGCTTCTTTCTGTCTTCTTTGAGGAGCTCATTCTGGCTTATGGCATTATGTATCATCTGAATGTTGCCACTCCCAAATTTAAAACTCCAGCCTGAACCTCTTATCTTGAACTCCAGACTCAAAATCCAACTACAACGTTACTTCTCCAGCTGGGTTCCAGTACTCACCTCAGACTTCCAGAGTTCAAGACCACTCTATCGTTTTAGTTTCTAAAACCAAAAACCTTGGGATCACCCTTGATTCCTCTTTCTTTCACGTTCCTAATCCAGTTGTTTCACAAATGCTGTTAGTTCTACTTTCACATTTGCTCGGAATCCACTACTCAGGCCACCCGTGCTGCTGCAGCCGTGGCCCAGACTGCCATGTCTTACCTGAGGGATTGTCACGATGCTCAACGGTTTCCCTCTGTCACCTTTACCTCTTTGAGTCTCTTCACATGGCAGCCAGACTGATCCTTTTAAAATGTAGTTAGATTATGTCTGTCCTTTGGTCAGACCTTCCGGTGACTTTCTGTCTTGCTCAGAGTCAAGGCCAGTCCCTGCCCTATGTGGTCTCCTGCTGCTCTCTCCTCCGCCCCGCCCATTCTACGGCAGTCCCACTGGCCTCCTGACGTTCCTTAAGCCTGGCAAGTTCCTTCCTCAAGGCCGTTGCGCCCTTCCTGGAACACAGCTCTCATATTTCTGCATGGCTACGTCTCTCACCTCCTTCAGGTATTTTTTTTAACATCTTCTCAGAGAGGCCTACTCTGTCCACCCTCTCAGAAATTACGATCCCCTCCCAGTCTGGTTCACCTTATCACCCTTTCCTGCTTTGTCTTTCCCACAGCACCTGTCATCTAATAGTCCATGTCATTGACTTATTTATTGCCTGTCTCCCGCTGGAATATAAGCTACACAAGGACAGAGATTATGTGTATTTCATTCATTAATGTACCTGGATTGCCTAGGACAATACCTGACACATGGTAGGTACTCAGCAAGTATCTGTTGAATGAAGGGATCTTCCTAGGTTTTCAGATAATCATATCCTTGGTCATTCTGGCAAGCTGTCTGTGGTCAAAACCCAGTGACTTAAGGCTGGTCCAGTTGAAAATGACATTGATGACTTAGTGACCTTTGGGCAGGCCCATCTGAAAGATGACAGTCACAAAACAGTGAATATAGTCTTTTGTCCAAAGAAAAGCTAGTATCTGCTTATGTGTTTTATTTAGTGATTTTTAATGATATAAAATAGCCTTTTCTTTTTCAGTTACTGGATTAAGCTGACAATAGTATCCCTTCCCTAGTCATCCAGTGCTGGTTTCTCTATGTTCATGGAAAGACACAATAATGAGTAGATAGCTGTTTGGGTCAACAGGATAGCCTCCCCCACTTTTTTCCCACCAACACTGCACTCACTCAGAAAAATATTCTAGAGTTATATTTGGAGTACTGAATGGTGGCACAGAACATTATGGGATCATTATTGTATACAGTCATTCCCTAATGAGACAGTGTGTCTAATGTCCTCGTTTTTGTCACACTAATGCATAATAATATGTAGAATAGCATTACTCAGGAGAAATCATGTAATTGATGCTAGACTCTGAAAATCAAAGCACAAAATAAGTAATTTTTAAAGGCTCTCCAAGTGCTGATATTAAAAAGTAAAAGATTCTAGACATCAGGCTCTATGTTGTAAAAAAATAGCCACAATTTCTAAAGTGGTTAAAGCTGGTAACTCACATACTCTTTGGTCCCTTCCCTGCCATGTTTGGAGTCAGCAGAGTATTCAGCCTGATCTCCTACCTGTGTTTTTCATCCTCATCTTCCTCCCCTTTGCTCGTTGCATTTTTCTGCTGCCTTTCTTCACAGCTTGCCTTTCTGTGTTTCCCTGATTTTCCTTCATCTGATGGAAGTATGTCCTTTGCTTTTAGCCTCTTGCTCTGCTTCAGCTTTTCATAGTTTATTACAATTATGCTTGAAGATGCAGTACTTTTAATATCCTGTAGTGCCTAGCCTGTTTTAAGTGCTCAGATATTTGATAAATTCATTATGAAAACAAAACAAGACTCCTTTGAGGTTATCATAGGTGTCAGTTCTGTTCCGGGCTACAGTGTTCACTCCTACCCTCCAGCCCACCCGGACGCTGTATGCAAAGATGAATAAATGACAGCCCTGCCCTTGAGGAGCTTACACTCTTTAGTGGGTTCTACTTTTAAGATAAGTGTTTGTTTGCTGTGAAGCTAAAATTAAACAGGTTTGAGAGTAAGTGGGAAGGGGGTGGTCCTAGCGATGATGGGAAGGAAGAAGCAACAAGAATTTCATGAAGTTTGCCATTTCATGTTCTGAAAAACACATGATTCATTAGGGAATGAGGAACACAGCAGCAGAAAGTCAGGCCTATCCACGTCAATGTAGAGGTGGTGGAGGTGCTCTGTGAGTTCCCAGGGTTTGCATAGTCCCTGTGCTACAGGGATTTCTTAGAAGACAACTTTCTCTTTCAGGATACTTGCCTATTAAGTAGCAAATAATATGGAATGGAACGATTTTGCCAAAATAAGAAAACATCTGCTATGTTAAGCTATCTCCTAGTAAGATGTTGTACTACATTTATTTGTTTTGTGTGTGTGATTTTCTTCCTTCGAGCAAGGTAAAGGAAGAACAAGGGAAAATCAGGCCCAAACTGCTAGGGAGGGAACCTGTATGTAGGCTTTAATGAGTTCCTGATGTCTATATACTCTCAATGCTAAGAAGGGAAGACTGGCCGAGCACATAGTATATCACATGACACCAGGAGCTGCCTCTTCTGTTGGAGTCTATGTCACCCTGTGTGCATTCCATCAGAGCCCTCAGAGTGGCATGCTTATTCGTCTTCCCCTTCTGAGCTGTAAGGCCCTCGAGGACAGAGGGTTATGTTTCAAGGTACAGATCTAGCACCTTGGAAATGCTTGTTCCATAGAAATGGCTGAGGGAACTGGTGTCATGAGTGTGATAGCCACTCCAGACACATTTGTCAGACAAATGATTGTGCAAGGAATAACTGAGCCATGGTGTCTCCTGGCTCTGGTTTCTGCCTAGCTGCTTCTAAAAACTGTTCAAATCTTGTCTTAAACTTGTGCGATCTGAAGATCAGTTTTAGAGTACTTTTAAGGGACTTTTGACCAGTCAGTGGTTTCATTTTAAAATGGAAACAGCTTCTGTGGTCTTCCAGTCTTGTTCATATAAAGAGAGGAAGTGTTCCCCACATAGCACAAGGGATGGATCTAAAAAACAGCTTTTTCATGAATATGGAATTCCTGTTTCTGTGGTTTCCATGTAAATACTGGCTTACTCTTTGCTCAGCTAAAAACCTGCAAAATTATTAACTTCCCGTGCTTCCATTTTATTCAGTGGGTTTAAATTTGAGGAACTAGCACATCTCCCTTCAGTGGCTCATTTCATAAGTCAAAAACATACCCATTTCTTACTATGACGTGGATGAAGTGGAAAAACTGTTTAAATTGGCAGTGGATCTAATTTGTCACTGCATTTGGAGTGCAGGGTTACTATTCTTCAGTGGGCTTCACTTTTCGTCTAGCACTTTGATGGAATCACATATGTATGTCCATCACTTCTGCTTCTATTTTATGGTTGAAATGTAGCTATTAGTTTAGGCAGTGAATTGTAGCCTTGATGCAATTTTGTAACTGTTTCCAATGTCACATTTCTAATGTACTTGTCCTTGTACACCTGCATTTGTCCTAATGGCGTTAGTATTTGAAAACACTAATCTCAAGCATCCAAAAAAGCCATTTAATAGGAATCACTGAGAGTCCAGGGAGCCTTGATTTGGGTAACTACAACCCTGTTCCTTACACACAGCCCAGCATTCTCCAATGTCTCCTGTAGCAGAGAAAGAGCATTTTCTTTCCATATTCTCCATGTTCTTGCAGAAAAAACAGGCTTTTCTTGGTATCTGTCACTCCAGGATTATTGACACCATGCCACATTATTTACTTGCTTTTAGCTCTCAGAAGCTCTGCATGAGGGTTACTTTTCTGCACACTTTTCTCCTGATCATGTTTCAAGAACTACAAAGCTGGTGGCCATCTAGCCAACAGGCAACCGATTATCAATGAAAGTACATTATAAATTTATTTTATAACAATTCATACAAATAGAAATAAGAATTTTAGGACATATATTCCTGCCTAAAATCAGTCTTCAAATTATAAGTTTTTTTTGCTTCTTAAATATGAGATAAAAATAATTTTTTCTCACCTTAAAGATTATATTTAGTCATTCTGAAATGAGGGCTTGTATAGATGAGCATTTTCTATCAAAATAGAAATTTACTGAAATAAATGCTGATATGGCCTTATTGCTATTCAAGTCCAAAATAGACTGCTATTTTGAAATCTTCTAGGGTTTCAGAATGTATGGATTTTCTTGTTCTTGAAAGAAGAGAGGGTATGCGAACTCAACAGTCCAAGCAGGTTGGTTGCTGAACCCGAGAGGGCCCCCTCTGTCCTGGCCAGCAGAACAAAGGAAGGAGGGTCTCTAACAGGTCAAGAGGCTTTTTATGGCCAGGGCTTTGGCGGGCTCTTTGAGGGGAGGGGTCAGGGGAAAGATGGGCTTGTGGCTTGTTGACATGTCCTCTGGAGGATGCTTGTAGCCTAGGGAAGACAACACCGAGGTCTCTCTGAGATGGTGGGAGGGCTTATTCGACAGATGGTACACAGTTCCAGATTCTATCAGTTTCTAATGTTATCTCATATTATTTCAGACATCCTGCCAGAAACCTGTAGACAAATACATCGAGTATGATCCTGTTATCATCTTGATTAATGCTGTTTTATGCAAAGCCCAGGCCTACAGGCATATTCTTTTCAATACTAAAATAAACGTAAGTTGTGGTAATTTTTTTATTGTTTAATTTTATGTGATGATGCTTTTGCATTTTTAATAATGTTGAACAGAATTAAGGAACGTTATTTTATAAAGTTTCGGTGAGGCCCACATGGTGTGGGGTGATCGTGGGGAAGACAGTGTAGCACAGAGGAGGTAAATAGTGACTCTGTGGCATCTTACTACACTGATGGGCAGTGACTGCAATGGGGTGGGGGGAACACGATAATATGGATGAATGTAGTAACCACATTATTTGTCATGTGAAACCTTCATCAGAGTGTATAGCAAAAGAATTCAGACAGCATGGCCCAACCATATGTCCTGTATTACCAGCTCATGTTCTGCATATCTGCTCAGTGATCAGGTTTTCAAAAATTGATTGCAGTTTTTGTGGAGTGCAGTAAAATCTGAAGATTACATAAAAGTGGGATGTTTTGTATTTAATTGGTAAGGAAAGTTCTCCGTAACTGAATAAAGTAATAGTAAACAGAAAAAAAAAATTCCAGTGAGGGTGGGTCTTTTCTATCAACAATGATGGAAGTTTAGAGATAGCAGACATTGATTTTTTAAAAAGGTGCACAATGTTTTGTGATTATTGAAGAATGTGGTCACTGGCAGGAAACTGACAAGTGAATCTGGATTGCCTTTTAAGAGGCTACCTTTTAAAACTGACATCACTTCTAAAAGAATAAAATTAAATATATCTGGGTAAGGAGAGAATTATACCTAGATGTAAGCAAACATTAAAAGAAAAAATATTTTAAAACAATTTTGTTCATTTTATACTCTGCTACTGAAGGAATGTATGAAATGAATGACAACATTGAGCTTAATCAGAAAAGTACTAATTTATAAAGTTTAATTATTCAAAATAGACATTTTTCTGACAGAGTTCCAAATTGTAGTTCTTTAATAGTTTGGGTGGAGTTGACAGAAAACACAGGACACTCAATTAAATTTGAGTATTAATTAAATATTATCTAAATATTTTTTTAGATAAACAATATTATTTATATCCCAAATAGTTCATGGAACATACCAAAAAAAGTTATTTTTCTGAAACTCATATTTAAGTGGGTGTCCTGTATTTTCATTTGCTGAATTTTTTTCAACCTTACGTTTGGGCTAAAATGTACGATAAGTACAATTTATTCTCCGCCCCTTGCCTCTAGGTTAACTAGTCAGTGCCATTGTTCAGTCGCTAGAGCACCGATTCTCAAATTGTGCTACGCAGAGTATCACCTGGGAGCGAGGGCAACGATTAAGCCTTCCAAGCTGAGGCCCTACCCAGGAACAAATCAGAATTTGTGGGGATGGGATCCAGGCATCAGTATTTCTTAAAACTCCCTAGGCGAGTCAAAGTGCAGCTAGGAGAAGCAGTGTGCGAATCAGAGATGCCTCGGAAGTTCATGCTGATTCCTGTAACTAGCTGGACTGGATTTGCACACCGTCTTTTCCTCACTTTACAGTGATGAAGTTCAACCCATAGGAGAACTACATAGAACAAAGCCAATTCTTGTTGCCTAGTATTTTCTATTTTTGCCGAAATCTCAGACTCTAGAACTTCCAGCTGATGCAGCACCTTTTAATCATTGTATCTTCAAATGTATTAATTTATACTTATTCAGCATGGGGGAATTTTTTTTTAAATTCATGTTTAGACTGATAGCTTCTTACGAGGTGTCATGGAATCTTCAGATTAAATCTGTTCCCTTGATGCTGCTTCCCACCTATCAATGAGTCACATCAATTCTGGGCTTGATACTGTGTACAGGACAGATGTACAGAATACACTGAAGGGTGAACTATTCAAAGCAGTGCTTCTTCACTAGGGAGACACAGTAGAATCTCCCCCACCCCTGAAACTGTTAACAAAATATGCATATCCAGGATTTAGTTCCAAAGGTTCAGATTCAGGATTGGGGCCCAGACATTTGTATTTTGTAATATCCCCCATATGATTCTGATGGACATTGTTGACTTAACTACACCAGTTTACAGACTGTAAACAATTACACCCTTCACTGGACAGTTCTGAATTTGAAAAACTACTAGATGGGAAGTTCCTCAAAACCACAAATGCTCAGCTATGACTATGCCTATTGCTTATATGTTTATATACAAGTGTTTCTTTAGTTGAATGGCAGTATCTTTTTCACTATCAGATGCATAGGAAACTCTACATATTCTGTTTGCTTTGTGAAGCATATCTCAGATGGTGGCAGCTTCAAGATTCAAATCAGAACACCGATCCTGATGACTTTATCCGATATGCCAAGGAGTGGGATTTCTATAGAATGTTTGCAATTGCTTCTCTAGGTAGGAAGAAGCCATGCTTTCTATTCTTAATTAATTAGTATTTACTATGCTGATTAAAAGTGAGGTACCTGGTCTTAATCCTCAGTAAGAGGAGCGAGTTAATATAAACTTGAGACTGTTTTCAGTTCTACGCTAACCTGCTAAGGTGTTTGTCTAAATTATCTGCCTAAATTATCTTTTTTATTTGTTACCACACAAACTGTATGGAAGTAGCTGCTTATCAGATCAGAGAGTTTCATAAAATATTTTGAGACAATATTATTGATAAAATTCTTAAATTTAAGTTCTCATTATCCAGTTTTAAGATTACCTAGTTCCCGTCTTTAAACAGGCTGATAATTGCCAGATATTATCTGAAGTATTGTACTAATTGCATTGTACTAATGCAATGTATTAAATAGGGAAAACTTATTATGTATCTGATCTTATCCAGGGAAATTGGCTACTCTGCCAAATTTCTTGAAGTTCAGGAATTGCTTTTCTTCAGAATTTGAATTTGTAACTTAGGTTACTGGTTTCCATGCTTCTCTGCTTCTAAAATTCAGTGGTTATAAGAAAATACTATTTTAGTAATGGTAAGTCTCCAGCCCACTTCAGTGTCATATGTCTGAACTGTGTCCTGTGCTGTCCTTTTTTCCTCTCTCTGCCCTCTCCCTTGGTCCTCTTGTCCAGTCCTGTTGTCTTAAAATCCATTTGTATGCTGAGAATTTTCAAACACACATAATATTAAAAACACCCTTGAACACATCACCTAAGTCAAGACCTATAATCTAATAGAATCATAAACCTTAAAGCAAAGCCTTTTAAAATTTCTAAGGATAAACTCCTTTATGTCCATAATTTTTAAAACAAGACAAACCAAGCTTATTTTCCGAGTTTGGAATTCCTGTAGCCCCTACTCCATAGTAGGTATTTTGACCCTCAATCAGAAATTTTTTTTCTAATGTCACTCAACTTTCTTATGTGTCTTTATCGAATTCATAATTCAGTTACATACCCCTAAAATAGTTTGTAAGGAATATCTTATGTAAATAATGGCATTTTATAATTTAAACACTGCTTTTGTGATTTTATCAACTTACTTTTTTTTCATAAGCATCCTCTTTGGTAAGCAGGTTAGGGGTTCTCCCCTACCCACAGCTGTAGAAACAGAAGTAGGAAGGGCAGAGGTTTCCCCACAGCCTCGTGGCAGGTTAGCATCAGCCCAGAGATGAGGAAGGACCCTGGGTGCACATCTGTGTCTGCAGGTAGGCAGCAGCTGCGCTGGACCCCCCTGCGGGTGCAGGCCTTTGGGACTGGGCCCTGTAACGTCTGTCCCCGGACCGAGTGCTTGTGCAGTTTCATCCACCTCTGAGGTTCTAGTTTAGTGTGGAGGTTATCAGGTCCTCCCTTCTATCCAGTGTGAGAAACCCTCTTCTCCCCATTCTACAAGATGACCTAGCTTTATTTCCAGTGACAGGAGACAACTGCTATTGTGAGATGACTCCTGGTAGGGAGTTCTTTATGACTTTTGTTATTTTTTTGTTCAAAGCCCAGGCTGTGAGATCTCCCTTTTTGAGCAGATCCTTGCAGTTGACAAGCCCTCAGTTATGTTTCAGAGAGATAGCATGTCTTCCCTGACGAATATAACAAATTTCACATAGGTAAACCATCCTAAATTATTTATTGATCCTGATCACCTATATTTGGAACTTCTTTAATTTGGCTATATTTGGTTATGAAACACTTCAGGAAGAATACAGTTGTTTCTCCTATAATATGTGTATATTCCAGAAAAATGTGTTTCTTTTTCACTACCTAAATAACACAGTTTATGGGGAAAAAAACAGAATTGGGGACAGACCACTCAAAAGGTATGCAGCTGGGTACTCAGAGGACTAGCCATCTTACTAAAAATAATGCCGTCCAAAGAAATGCTAAGTTCCTAGTTGCTGGAACAGAACTGCTTGTGCTCTGTTCTGACTCGGACACCAGCAGGACTATTGCTGCTTCTGGTCTGGACTCTATATGTGCACCTTCTGGAAGAATAAGAAATTGCACTGAAAAACTTTAAGTGAATAAAGGGAGTTTTTAATTTATATAACAGTGTTCACAATCTTGTAGATAATAGGCACTCAATAAATGGAAAAACGAACAAAGAGAGCCGTCTTCATGTGAACATCTTAGGATGCCCTCACCTTTTAGACTGAAAGCCTCCACTGTCCTGTTGTATTCTTTTGGAGGAGAGCTCTAACACTGAAGATGCTTAGGCAGAATCTTACTTCCTAGGAAGAACTGCAAAAGTTGATGATTACAATTCTAATGGAGTCACTTTTTCTTCAGTGGGTGATGAAATACATCATGAAAGAATTGTTTCTGTTTCTGAATTCATGCCAAAAGGATTTGACACCAAAGGCGGGAGTTTCTTTTTATAAGAAAAAGAAAATAAAGGAAAAGTTTCATCTCAGTAAAGCATTTCTCTTGAAGTCAGTTGATAAGTTGTATTTTGGAACTGTGGTTTGTTTGTTTTTAAGGGGATATGGTTTGGATAGAGACATTGATATTTTTGTTTTCCATTTCCTCCTTAGAACAAGCTGCCTTTTTTACCGGCATTTTTACTTTCCTGTGGGTAGGACGACTCATGACAGCAAAAAAACAGCCCAGCTTTATTCTGCTGCTGAAAGCATTATTATTATCTAGCTATGGAAAGCTCTTGCTGATCCCAGCTGTCATCTGGGAACACGACTACACACCACTGTGCCTCCGACTCATCAAAGTATTTGTTCTTACATCACATTTTCAGGCAATTAGAGGTATGTTTGTGTTTTATTCTGTCTTCTCAGCTTTCAATCCATATACAAGCTGCTTAGGTCACAGTTTTATATGACCTGGTAAACACCGGAATTCTTCATAGAACAGTAACAAAGCCTTCCGTTTCTGTGTGCCTTATGCAGAGCACATAACCAGTCTCTGCTCAGTTTACCACATGGTGTTATTTCATTTTCAAAATGCTTTCATATACATTATCTCTATCCTGTGGGATCAGTTAGGACAGCCGCCATTATTCCCTCCATGTTATGAATGATTTGTCCAGATTTATATGGCCAGGCAGTTGTCAAGCCTGGACAATTCATACTATACCAAGGGAGGGGTGAGCAGCCCTGTGTGTCTCCATTTTCCCCACACATTGTGAGAAGTGCCGTCTTAATGAGCCTGTTAACCTGATAACTTTTTGCCACAGTGTTTATCATCTCATAAACTGTAAAACTGATAGTGTCAACTTTTTCCTGCTTGTCTCTTTATAACTTTAGAATCAACTTTTTATTTTCTCCTTTAATATTCATGGGATTCTGCATTTCAGCAGGAGAAGCTGAGTGCTTTTGTTATAAGCAGATGATTGGTACTCTCAAAACGTTTGCAGACAGAAAAGTGGGAGAAGGGAACAGCATTGATTAATAAGAACAGAGATTTTCTACAAACAGCTTTACAAAACAGTTCCATTCACACTATCATAATTTACATGCCAGTATCATTTAATTAAAATCTTAATAGCTTATTGCCTTTTCTTTTCCAGTGACCCTGAACATCAACCGAAAGCTCTCCTTTTTGGCCATCTTGAGTGGCTTACTGCTGGAAAGCACCATGGTCTACTTCTTCCAGCGGGTGGAATGGCATCTTGGAAGTGACTACGCCAGCTATAAATACCAAGACTTTTGAAGAAGTACAGAAACGTCTTAGTGTTCTTCTCTTAATCCTTCTCAGCTTAGATGTCATTGTATAACAGGTGCCCTTACATAACCACCCCAGCACCTGATGGCCTTTTAGGTCACCTACGTCTCCCTCAAGGACAACGGAAACTGTCTCCCGGGATCCTCCACATCCTCAGTGACATCAGCATTGTGATTTTGTTGCTTCTAGGGCCCTCTTCTCAGTTTTGCTAACACTTGGCATGCCAGCTCAGTCCTGTGAGAGCTCAGACTCTGGAATCTCACCCACTGATGGTTGCCTCCTACCCTTTCCCACCACCCTACCGCCTCTCTTCTGCCCTCCCTGCCTTGTTGAGCTTTAGTCTCTTGACCTCCAGCTTCTACTCTGACCAGCCTCATTTCTTTCGACCACACGTGCAGCCTGGAGGCAGCTGCCGAGCTGTTCTCTGTCGGTCCCTTGACCTCCGTCAGCTGCTCCTCTTATGTCAGACATGCCTTGCCAGAGCTGTCTGGTGAGTCCCACCATCCATCCTGTCCACAGTGTGCAGCGAGTGTCACATATGCAGGCTGTCCCGCATGTCCACAGAGCCTCAGCTGGACCACTGATTGTCACCGCTAGTGAACTGCCTCAGGTTCTGGAATCCTGCAGGCCCCTGACCCCCACGTCCGCGCTCACTCCACTGGGAATGAAGACTGCTAGCTTCCTGGATCTCTCCTCAGTGCCTCACAGCTCCTTGGCCATCTCCTCCCCCCATCCCTTCCGCCCGCCTCAGAATTCTGCTCAGCTTCCTCTTGGGACTGGTTCCCTTCTGTGGCCTCTGGGCAGGGCCCTGGAGTGGACTCACAAGCTGGCCTGAGGACAGCACAGAGGTGGAGGAAGATGGCTGCATCTGTGGCCCACAGAGGGAAAGCTCAGGCAGCTCCTGGTCACCCCTGCTCATCTGTCAGGGACCCTCACAGAGCTAAAACACCACCCTCCCTCCTGCCACCTCTGCCCCCCTTCACGCTCAGCCACTACCCCGTCCTTTCCAGTCCTTTAGGGGTGTTGCTCCTTATCCCCTCCTCTGCCAGGGCTCCTTTCCCTCTGGCAACGGTCAGGCTCAGCTCTTTCTTCTGGAGCAACTGGTCTAAGCCTGTTTCTCCACTACCTTTTCTCTTTATAAAAATGTGTTCTCCCATAGTCTCTCGTGTGTCTGTGCTCATCAAAGCCACAGAGAAGCTAGTCGTTGCCAGTTCTTTCTCGGAGGCACCTCTTTGCTGTGCCATGGGGGCTGCTGACGCAGTGCCCTCCTGGGACAGGCTGCCTGTGGGTCGTTTTTCTCCACGTCCCCTCTGCACAGATCAACCCCCCTCCCACCGGCACAGGAGCCTCCTCCAGGCCGATCGCCAGCTCCTGTCTCTGTGCCCCTTCCCCCCGACTGCCTCAGCCAGGAGGCCAGTGCCCTGCACACACGTCATCCCTCCTCCCACCCGCACAGGAGCCTCTGCTGACAGCTTTCTCTGGAAATGTCCCTTTTCCCTCAGACCCCAGCTCACCCCTTATCTCCTGCCTTAGTTGGTAACCCTTCACTGGCCTTCCAGCCAAGCTGGTGCCATGGAAATCTTTACCCAGCAGCACTTCCAGTGTCCATCCGCGTCTTGCACCATTCTCACTGTGGACACAGGCGTTTCCAGAGTCTCCTGAGGAAGGTCTTCTGTTTTCTGTAGGATTCAGTGTGGTCCCCACACCCGGTCCTTATTTCTCCTCCACGGGCTCTTCCGACGCCCATTCTCTGCTGCAGTCTCCTCCTCGTCCCAGACGTGTCCTGTTCTCTCCCCAAGCTGAGCAGCCTCTTCTCTTCCTAACCAGACACAGTCACCTCTGCTTCTCCATGGAGTGAAACTCGGCAAACACTGGAGTCTGCAGTGCTCTCCCACCATCACCCTCCCACACCCAGGCCTGCGCAGCTGCACGGCACCTGGGACCTTGTCTCGCTCCCACACTGCTGAACCCTGGTCGGAAGGATGAGGTCATCATTTGAGAGCCATTATCCCCCTTAATGTCATCCCATGCTTTATACTTGTCCACATCTTCTGTTTAAATTGTGCCTGTGCCTGACTCCCCCAACCTGGTTGGTTCCAGGCAATACCGTGTATGCGGTGACTGCATCTCCCATCGTACAGGGCTTGACCTCCTCAGCTTTGGTTGATTGGATTTTCAGCAGAAAGTGCCATTCTGAATGCTTTTATGACCCACAGTTTTGTTCTGTACTCTGTGGCATGACCAGCTGCGCTGGAAAGAGAGAAAAGAGAACATACAAACCAGGCTTCTAATTCCTGTTGCACGAAATGAAGCAAAGATATGGATACACTTCCTGGAAAGAAAGCCACAGCTGTGGCACTGGGAACCCCAACCTACAACCTCCCTCACATAGGGAGCGGCTACACCACACGCACACACCCTCCCACACGCCCAGGGAAGATTGCTGTAGGGATTGACAGGCACAGCAAGTGAAGATGTGCACGTTACAGACAACTTCAGATGAGCATTTGCATTGAAAGAAGAACATGAATTTATGATTCACACATCATGAAAGATCTGTTTCATTCCTTTGACGTGTTTATATCTTTTCAATTTAAATGTTACTGGCTTTAAATAGCATATTTAAAATATTTTGTGTTATACAACAGTAGAAACATTTTCTTTTAATAAAGTCAAAATAGTTTTGTGAGTTCCTTGTAACTTCAGTATCTTCCCCGCTAAGTAGGTTGCTCTTTAAAATTGGCTGGTCCAAATACAAATAAGATAACTGAAAACCACAGAACTGTATTCTTTACAAGGGTGAGTTATATGTCAGTAAAGCTGTTACAAAATAAGCTAGCACCTCTCCCCTTTTCTGTACCCTTTCATTCATTTGTTCTTTTGTTCATTATTAGTCACTGAAGAGAGGTCCTCACTGAGCACCTACTGTGTGTGTCAGACAGTACAGACAGGTGCTAAATACGCCCTCAGAAGGTCCTGAGCAGTGTTAGGAGTGGATAAATCAGTGCAGTGTGATGGTACTGTTAAGTCCCAGGGAAATACGGAGCAGAAACACCTGTTCCGGCCTCAGAAAGTGAGAACACCTCCAAGAGAAAGGAAAGGGACTTCCAGAATCCCTGGCAGAAAGCAGCAATGCTTGCAGGGGCCAGAGAGTAATGTGTGTCTGCAGGAGCCGATAGTACACAATTCACCTAGGTGGAAAGTGGGCGTTGGGAGTCTAAAATTATACTGGGAAGCATGTAAGGTGGATTACAGTGGACTGCATGAGTTGTGATTTATCCCAAGGACATGATGTTAAAAAAGAATCCAAAGAAATACGAAGCACACCTATTGGAATAGTGTCACAGAATAGCCACTAGGTGGAGCCTGCAGATGGTAACAGGAGGGAGAAAACAAGCGTCAAAAGCAGACAACTGAAAAACAATTAAAAAACAAGTATTAGGAAAAATAAAGTGCAGTACACTGATCATAGCTTTTCAGATTTTTGGTCTGTTAATTTAGACAAGTGAACTAATACATCACTCATTTATAAATCCATTCTCAGTATATCCACAGTCTTGAAGACCATAAAGGTATTTGTTAATCTTTAAAAAAATCACAAGTCTTCAGGCTGTGGAATGTGGCAGAGGTCTGCAGAGGAAACCATCTGATCCAACCCTGACCTTACGCTCCACTCAGTGTGTTGTTTATGACATCCCTCATTGGAGTGAGAGAGTAAAGGGTAAGACCCCAGGAAGAAAGGCTGCTGAGTGACTGCTTCCCTCCTGCACCCCATCCCTCTGCCCAGCCCAGGGGGCTTGTCTTCACTGTCATTGGCCCCACATTGGTTTCAACAATTTTTATGAAAAAATACAAAGTAAAAAAAAAAGTCCAAAGACTTGTACAGTGATAACCCTTAGACGCCCCACACCTATATTTTACAGTTAAGTTTTGCCAAGTCAAGTTTGTTTAAATATGATTGCTGAGGCAGAATTGCTCTTAGTCACACTGGGAAGTTACAAGGCCGTGGCGGGGCTTGGTGCCTTAGGATGATGTCTTTGTTTTCCAGGCTCCCGACCCGCCAAGATCGGTACGTGGTGTAACGACCACAAACATACTTACATGGAAGTCCATTTGAAGGTATAAAAATTAAGTCACTTTTATAAATCCCCTCTTGCTGAAAAGCAACCTGCACTCCAGCCATCGTAGGACACCTGCTTCATAACCGCAATCACCATAAGTTACCGTCCCATGGTGGGCACACTGGCACACCCACTGCTGGCTCTTGAGTTCTCAACACAGCCAAGTGCCAGAGGAGAGAAAGCACTCATTTTATGAGTGCACAACATAGCCTGATCCGACACATGGGAATAGACAATTGGTCTCTTGCTGGAAGGTTTTCTGTCAGTGTTTGAATCCTTTGAACCAAGTTGGGGTGAAAGCATCGTGGTATATATGAGCCAAAATGTATTTTTAGATTCTACAGAAAGACAAAAAGTTTAGGTTAGAGTCAGGTCAGTCATTAAAGAGGACCTTTTCTGGTATTTTTAAGCTATGTGATAAATTCTAAGTAAGCTTAAATTTTCAATAATCATACAGCAGGCAGGAGCACTTCCTTCTGTCGCTCCTCCAGCCTTGAGGACCTGGATGCCAAATCCGTTCTCTCGTGGGGAAGTGGGAATGTGTGAGGATGATCGGCCAAAGTCTAAGTTACACAAGACACACACATGCAGAATTAAACATGTTAAAAACCAAAATGATAAGAGTGGTTTTCTGTGTCACAGCAGGGATTCCCTAGTCTCCAGTGAGCTCAGAGCAGTGGGAGAGGAGAGGGAAAGGGCCACATAAGCCAACCCGGCCTCCTTCCTCTGGACTTGCCTCCCCCTGGGTTGTCATCCATTAAACGCTCAGCACACAGACCTCACGGTGAGCACGCACAGTCATAAAACGCGGCTACTTCCACATCCCAGTCACTGGGGCATGGGGCATGTTGCATAGTTAAGTGTGGTTCAGAACATTATCACTCATGTATGTGTGTTCTTCCTCTGTCGCTGAGTCAAAGAGTAAACAGTAGAGGCACATTAGCAAGAACAGGGTTTAGTGTGAATATATAATATACACACATATTCTGGGAAAGATTTTGTTAAATGGATAAGAGGATGTGAAGCCCCTTTAACAGCCACAGGCACCTTGGTAGTGCCAAGACTAGAGAAAACTGTCCTTACAACATGCACACTCGAGGTGCAGGCTCCTGGCTTTCTGTAGGAAGAGAGCAGTTCGAGTTTCTAATAAAGTCAAGTCCATTTATGCTACATACAGATTGCAGACAAGCATCTTCTCCATATTTGTTGAGATTCATGATAGAAGGAAAGAATCAAGTGGTGGTTCCTGCGAAGTTGCGATCAGTACAGCTTGTACCCAAAGCACAGGAGTGCCTGTTTGACCAGGAGCCTCCACACACACCACTGGAGCAATGGGGTGCAGGCTTTGGGCTGAGAACAGACTAGTTTCTAGAAATGAGGGTACTGTCCACTGTCACACCACCTGCGTTTTGTTGCCCCAGGTGCCCTGCATTGATGGGGTCAGTGAGGACATCCAGCCATAGCAGAAGGGGTGCTATTGCCCATACCTCCACTTGTGCCCTGGTTGGGGGGCTCCAAGTGATGTAATGGCAGGTGGTGACACAGGGGCCTCCTGTTACAGCTGAGATGTTTGCCTTCACCTGTGTCACCTGTGTTTTGGCCCGGTGGCCCCCAGCTCTACTGATGAAATACAGGAACACCAGCTCCTTCAATCGTAGGAATGATGTCCCCTCCTTCGTGCCAACTGCTTTCTGGGCAGGTGTGCCCCATGTGCCTGGGATAATGGTGGAGCTAGAAGTGGATAATTAGATACAGGGATAGTGCTGGTACTCAGCTGCAGTGGCCGTGGTAGGCCCAGGAGATGGAGGTGGAACCAGAAGTGGGTGATTAGACGCAGGCATTAAGTAGCTGTATTTCTTTATAGGCCATTGAACAGGTGAATAGAAAAAACGAAATGAGACATGAGAGGTACCTATATATACAGATTGCATGAATGAAGTAACATATTTGGTAGATTCTAAGCACCACTGGATTGTTTAAGAGGCACCATTACTTTATAAACCTCTAAGGAAGAAAAAGCATTGCCACTGAAACTATGGCATGGCATCAGTTGTATGATGCTTCCAACTTTCAGAAGTATTTAGTTGAGAATCTGTAGTTTATAGTAATGTTGATCATTTCTACATGTACCCACTGTGCTACTTTACTTTAGCATGATTTAAACAATCTTAAGTCTTATAGAAGAGATCCACACTATATTTAGAAAATAATATTATGGACTTTATATTAAAAGTTTATTATAAAGTACATGACTCACTGCCTCAGCATTCATGGACATTCCCATCTCCTCCTAATCCTTAATAGTTGAAATCAGTGTTTCTCAAACTATCCATGGTGAAAGACAAGTTTGGTTTTTTTTTCCTGACCCACTGTAGCCTGCTACACGGTCTTATTCTTCACGGCTTGCACCACAGATGACTTACCATGTGGGTTTGACGCCGCTCTGGCTTAGTAATGCTCTGCTAATGAATTAAGGCCAGGGATCACACTCTTAGGTGACAGAGGGCCATAAAATTCTGTAAACACTCTTAATTTCTGTTTTTATCTCACAGTCTAGTGAGTCTGTGGCAAGCACTGGCCACAGACCCCTATTTGAGTAGTGCTGACTTAAGATATCACCATCTATTTCCAAAATCAAAAGACTGAGGAAATTCAGAATTACTTTGTCATCAGATTTTATTTTTTGAAATCTTACACTGGAGATGCATCTGGTCCATCCTTGGGCTCTGCTTCTTATAATAATATGAACACATGCCCGTTCTCTTTCAGTGTTCCTGGTTTGGGGCAGTTCTCCTTTTCCCTTTATTTGGCTGGTGGTCAAAATCTGGGGTTTGCAATAACTGCAGCATCCATTTACTGGTCTTGTATTTTTGAGAAGCAGAAACAAAAACAACCACTGAAATGAACTGCTTTTATCATTTTCAGGAGAATTTTTTTATTTCAAGAAAAATAAGGTTTGGCTCTTTCCTCTGATGGCCTGTGAAATTGTGTGAGCGGCTATGCCCGAGAAAGAGAAAAGCAAAGAGGATGAGCTGGGGCATTAAATAACTGTTATCACATGGCTGTAATTTTCTCCTTTCAGGTGTCAATCATGGAGATCTTAATGACCATAAGATTTTAATAGAGTCCAGCAAGTCAGCGTTTGGAGATGCTATACATCAAGTGTCTGGGATTTTTGACTTGGATGACGTGAGCTATGGCTACTATGCGTTTGAAGTGGTGATCGCCATCATGTACATGATGATTGAAAGCAAGAATCCTATGCATGTAGCAAGTCATGTCCTTGCAGAGTTTGAAAGTGTAATCCCATTGACGCCTGTAGAGAGGGGTGCTTTGTTTCTTCATGTATTGCAGTCGCTTTTGTCAGTCACTCATCATAGCCTCATACTCTTGCCAGCTACACACAGAGAATGAAGAATATCTCATGGTTACTGCAAAAACTGGGTGGAAGCACTTACAGCAAATGTTTGACATGGGCCAGAAAGCTGTAGAAGAAATCTGGTTTGAAACTGCCAAGTCCTACGAATCTGGGATCTCCACGTGAATAGGTAAAAGTTCACATTAATTGGGATAATTAAAAACCCAACACCTCCTTAGGCAGATTGTTTCTGAGAACAGTGCCTCTAGGTTCTACAGCAGCCAGGGCCTCCTGAGAGCACCCAGATGTATTTCCCACAGGCCGTCCATTGACTGTGCAGGCTCCAAAGCCCAGCCCTGAGATTCTCTGGGGTGGCAAGCATTGGATCTCCATGGGGGAGGGGAGTGGAACCCCAGTTATTAGGTCTATCTGCAGTGTGTGAAAGTCCCACCCACAAGGGAAGTGAGCATGTCAACTGCTAGTGCTGAATAGAGCGTGTTGGCTATAAATTCTCACTCTGTGTATTTGTCTGTCTCTCCTTGTGTCTCTTTCTCTGTCTCTTGCACACACACATCTCATAAAAGGGACACAGATGCATCTGAAAATCATGTTGGGAAAAAAACATTTTGAACCCTAGGGTGAATTTCAGTAGTTCTTTTCCTTGATTCCTTTCTTCTGCTTGAAGTTACTTCCCTAGTACTCATGAAGGAGAGTTTCTGGACCCACTAGAATTCTGCCTATGTTTTCCACATGTATGTGATCAGAGCCTACAAGTAATAAAATACGTCTTATATTTGCCAATTGAATGTATATACAAGCACATTATATCTGCCTCTCTACCTACATCTGCAACCTCCTTCGTATGTCTATAGATCGCATCTCTCTGTAGGTGTATCTAGTCCTAAATTCCCTCCACATCTCTCCTCCTCTAGGTCTCCATGTCACTGTAAGTAGAGATCTATCAATCTCTACTTTTACAGAGGGGAAGAGTCTGTTTCAGGGGCCAGACATGGTAATGTGTAGCTTCTGAAACATGAGGCTGGCCTCTCTGGCCTCAGGACAAATGGACTTTAGGTGTGGCAGAAAAAGCCACATGAAAAGATGGCTCTTAATAAGGTGGGCCTGTGGGAATTAGAAAAGTTTAGTTTGTTAAAATAGAATCCATTTTGAACTTTCCTGCATTTTAGGGATTTAGGAGGGAGAATGTCTGAGAGGCTGGGAATTGACTTATTTTGAGCAGAGTACCTGCTGCAGATAACGTGTTCACCATTTCCTCCCAAATTCAATAATTGATGCAGGTGGTATGAGACTAAACTTCTCTGTTACTGTGATGCATAGGGAAACTATGGTAAAAGACATTGAAAGCCTTTAGATAAAAAGAGTATTATATTTCACTCATATTTTCATGGTTCTGGTGGTCAGTAAAGCACACTGGAATTTTCAGGAATTTGTGGCACATCTCTAGTGATAAAGCCCTTCCATTGTTTTTCTCTTTTCCACCTTTGTAGTGACATTCTTTTGTGTTTGGAGATCTCACCTTTCAGTCTCAAATCACTATATTTATTTGTTTTTTTTCCATCGATCTGGGACAAAGGAATCAATCCTGGCTTGTGCTCAGCCAGTATACTGATGGATCACTGGCTTCTCACTTTTATTTATTCTCTGAATCTTTCTCTTGAATCATTTCTAGTGCTGGGAAATTTTTATATTTTCCTTGCAGCTCTGTTGACCATTTTAAGAAATCTTATAAATTTTGAGGTTTTTTATTTGCCTGAATTAAAACAGTTATTGGAATATGTATTATTTTCCTCTAAAAGCATAAACATCCATATTGTTCTCATGAGTAAAGCATTTCACCGAGACATTCTCTAACAGACACTAATGTCTCGAGACATTCTGAGTTTCTTGATTTGAACACCTCTCCAGTTTATCATATAATTATTCACTGTGTGATTATTTCCTTATCATTTGAAAGTATTTTTATATTCTGAATCAATTTTTGAATTTATAATTTTCTACTTTAGTGCATACTACCTGTGGATGGCCAGAATCCATGTTTCTCTGTGACACTGTTAGTATCGGTAGAATTAGTTACACTGCTCCACACTTTTCTGACAGACGGTCCTTTGACTCTGATCACCAGTATTTTCCTTGGCACTTCACTCTCTCTGTGAAGTAACCTCAGTTTGATGTTTAGATTTAATACAATGGATCTTTTAAGTGATGTTAAGTGAAATGTGTATGCTGCTAGATGTTACTTGTTGGTTACACTTTGAAGTGACAGCTGATTGTCATCACAGAGTGCAAGAACATCTGATTTCTGGGGTTTCTGCTTGGATAAAGTTGATCATTTTTAGGCCTAAAACTTCCCTGCTTAAAACATCTTCTATGGTATTTGAAAATAATATATATCTTGTGTTTATTCATCAAAGTGTTTTGCATTTGTTTATCCTCTTAAATAGTCAAACTTTCTAACATAGTTGATATATACCAACTATGATTTCTATGATGGTCTTAACGTCACTAAGTAGCCACTCATAATAACAACTGTCTTTCACAGCACTTGAGGTCCTCATCAAGATTGGAGGAAGGTACAGAGAGTTTCCCAGATTTCCACCTGGGATGCAAGTCTTGTGTAACATTCACAAATCAGTCAATGTGATACACCACATTAATAGAATGAATAATAAAAGTCACTAGATCATCTCAATAGATGCAGGAACAGCATTTCACAAAGTTTTACATCTATTCATGATAAAAATGAACAGCAAAAATAGGTATAGGAAGAACTTAACCACAACACAATAAAGGCCCTTTATGAATTCCCAAGCTCACATCAATAAGGCGGGAAGACTGTAAGCTTACCCTCTAAGTTTTAGCAGAAGGCAACAATGCCCACAGTTTTCACTCCTAGTCTTCACAGTGCTGGACATCCTAGTGACAGCAGTTGAGCAAAGCAAAACAAAATGCATCCAAATCATAACAGAAGCAGTAAAATTGTCTCTGTTTATAGATGAAATGATCCTATATGTAGAAACCCTAAAGATTCTATTAACAATACTTCTATTAGTACTAGTAACAAATCCAGGAAAGTTCTATAACATAATCAACACACAAAAATCAGCTGGTTTTGTTATACTACCAATGCTATATCCAAAAAGTAAATCAAGAAAACAACCTTACTTACAAAATAGCATCAAAAGTTATAAAGTACTTATGAACAAATTCAACCAAGGAGGTGAATGTTCTATACGCTGAAAAATATACGACTTTGATAAAAGAAATGCAAGAGGACAAAGACATACTGAAGTGGGAAAATATCCTGCATTCATACATTGGAAGAACTAATATTGTTAAAATGTCCATACTACTAAGGTCTGGGTCCTTAGAGTCTTCTCGTTTGGGTTTCTTAAGAGAAGTAAAAGTTGGTTGTTTTGACAAGTCACCACAGGCGTTTTCCTCCATTTCTGCTTTTCTCGCATCTGTGCTGAGGCGAGTTGCCATGTCCGTAAGGATCATCCTAGAGAAAATGATGTTTGAAGTCAACATCTATGCTTTAGAGTTATGTATCTTTAGTAAAAGTTTAGCTTTCATTCTCTTTCAAGTAGAGACAATGCAAATCAATTCATAAAAAAGATGAAAGAATACATTTACTTATAGTAGATAGTTGACATTACATAAGAAAATTCCTATTTACACAAATGGTCAAAAAGTCACCTTTAGTATGGTGGAAAGTTTCTAAACAAATACAATGGGATGTTATGAACATATAGGACAGGGGAACAGAAATAATACCTGCAAAGAGTCAGGTCCTTAGAGTCATCTCGTTTGGGTTTCTTAGTGAAGTAAAACTTGGTTGTTTTGACAAGTCACCAGAGGTGTTTTCCTCCATTTCTGCTTTTCTCGCATCTGTGCTGAGGCGAGTTGCCATGTCCGTAAGGACCATCCTAGAGAAAATAATGTTTGAAGTCAATATCCATGCTTTAGAGTTATGTATCTTTAGTCAAAGAGTCTTCTGCTGCAATCTTCCCAAAGAACTCTTACAAGGGCTGGCTGGCAAGTCTGCTGTAACACCTGGCATTCTGAAAGAAGTAGGGACAACTGGACTGCCACTCTTCTAAAGAAGTTTCTACAAGGATATGTGACTACCTGGGTTAAGGCTCTCCAGTCACCCAAGAATCCTTTCCTAAGTAACCCTTACCACAGCCCAGCCCTTCCTGAGACTCCTCGCCACCGGCACACAGCGGGAGCCAGGGCGATGGGAGGCAGAGACTGGACCCTGTGATGTGGCCTGTGGTCCCAGCTCTCCAGGGGATTTGGGCTGTAATGCACCAAATTACACTAGGGAGACCGAATTTCCACAAAGTTCACTTTCAATATCATGTCTAAGGAATAATTAATAAACAGATTAGGACAAACATATCCTTTTTAGGCAATAAAGATTTTAGAAAAGCTTCCAGAGACGGACTATGTAGACTTCTGTTAGCTGCTTATTAGATACAGGAATGTCCCCTTGCACACAGGCAGTACTTCCACAAAGAACCAGGTAGGCCCATTACAGGAAACAACCCAAGTCTTCCGGGAAGATACCACTAGTACTCAGGCGACAGCCATGAAAAGATGACCTGCCTTTCAAACACTGTGCATCACGACACAGGACCGGGCAGGGAACCATCGTCACCACCAGCGTCTTGCTCTCCTCTTCCCAATTTCTGACACCCTGAAAACTCTCCATTTGGGGTACAAGACACATAATTGAGTACTGAGTCCATTTCCAACCTCAGTAAGTTGTGTTCTAGGATGTGAGGAAAGGGAAGGTGTGAAGTAAGTGAAAGAACCTAACAATTAAGATAAAACATCCAAAGAAGTTAAGAGTCCAAAAATTGGCACTTTTATTAGGACTGATAAATAATCCATCACTCACATACAAGTCCCCTGTTAAATATCAGGTATAAAATTTTGCAGGAGAAGCCAACAGAGAAGTATTAGTACCCCTAATAAGGCATCTAAACTACACTAATGAAAATTATAGATTCATGGAGTCCCCAAATAAATTTGGAATAATAAAAGAGGGCCTTCTAAAAGATACTAGATGGCCATCAAAGAAAAGCCACATGGCAGAAAAAGAGATCTCAGTGTTCCTGAGGACAACAAAATTGACATTTCCTTCTAAAATGTAGCCTGATAACAGTGATGAAAAGTCCAAACCTGGGGAAATCTGCTGGGAACTCTAGAAAATGCTTATTAGGCAACAGATCCGGAGCTGACTCAGTAATGACATTAAAACTTCAAATCACTACAAGAGTGTAAGAACGTAAAAGGAATTCTGGACAACCTAGGAAGAAAGAAGAAAGATAATAAGACAGACCTGGGAAGAGTAACAGGCAAACAAAATCACCTCGGCTGTCAAGTTCCCCCACACTGCATGCTGTACGGGAAGAGGCCAGTGTTCTCAGAGCAGGCCTAGGTCACAAACACACCTGGAACACCATTCCATCCAATCTAAACAGGGTCACCGGCAGCAAGGTGTGAGGCAGCATCCTGGAATGACTCACAGAAGTGGTAGACTTGGAGAGTATGTCAGAGACACTAGATAAGGGGAAATTCTTCATATTTTAATATTAATCTTCAAGTCTATTTAGATAGCTTTTGGTTTAGGGTTTTTTTTTACTATGCAAAAAGTCAAAGCAGCCTCTAGAACAGAACCTCTCAATAACTGGCAATAAAGAAATTAACTAGATAAAGACAAAATTTTATCTACAAAAAATATTAATTCCAAGTACTAAGTGAAAACTAAGACTTGGAAAGGTATTCTTCCTAGAAAAAAAAAAAGTATTTTCTCTAAAAAACTTATATCTGACTTTCACATATTATTAGTTCCCGAAAAGTCTAAGGCATTAATAAGTCTACTTATGTATCAGGGATTAATTTGTATGGGAGATTAGGTGCGTTTTTTAATCAATGCACTAAGATACTGGGAATCAAATTAGATCTAGGATTCATTTGATGCTTCCTACCATGTGACAAGTAATCTTCTAAACTGCACGATAAAAGAAAAATGGAAAGAAGAAAATGAGAAAGGACAAAGTTGGTAAGAGGTTTGACTAAAAGTTGAAATACTTTTAAAATTTGTTGAGCAGACTAGCCTTTCCTTATTGTGTATTCTTGGCATTGTTTTCAAGTTTCAGCTGACTGTATGTGTAGATTTATTTCTGGGCTCCCTATTCTGTTCCATTGGTCTATATGTCTACCTTTACGTCAGTATTAATACTATTTTGATTACTGTACCTTTGTAATACATATTGAAATCAGAAAGTACGATATCTTCACCTTTGTTCTTCTCTCTAAAGATTGATTTCTATTTATGATCTTTTGTGGTTACGTAAGAATTTTAGCATTGTTTTTTCTATTTCCGTAAAAAATCCCATTGGGATTTTGACAGGGACTGCATGGAATCTGAACACTTTTGAGCAATACAGACATTTTAACAATATTATCTTTTAATATCCTTCCTCTTTAAGTTTTGATCCCTTTAAATTCTTTATTATCTTACCAGTAATGCCACACATTGTTCTGGCTCACACTGAATATTAGAATTTACACTTTTAAGACTCATCTTTAAAATGTGCACTGAAATACCTCATCTTCTCTCTCAGACTTTTATAAAATGCTAATGTATATGAAGTAAATAAATTAATATAAAATGACTGAAAAGAATATACTGGGAATATCTTCTAGGTAGATATAATTAAGATTTTACTTTATAATGTAAAAAGGGCAACTAAAAAATAAATATCTTAAAATTGGGCAGAAAGTTACACTAATTACTTATGGAAACTTCTTTACCTATCCTCTTACAACAGATTCCTAGGGTATGAGAAATAGAAATTTGATAACCATGTTCTACAAAATATTACATATAAAACTGAGATTACATACAACCAGAAGGCTTAATTATTTAATTAAAATTCACTTTAAGAGGTGGCTCTTCATACATACAAATGTTCTCATGAATACCATACAGCTTTGTTTACTTTTAAAAATAGTGTGTGGTTTGTGCTGAAGCTAGTATTCATTCCGTCTAACCTTTCACATACTCTGTATCTATAGCACAATGAATAAAAAGTAATGCTTGATGCAGTCGCTGTTCTAAACAGTTTGACAGTCCCTCCAAAAGCTAAACATAAAATTACCACAAGACATAACAATTCCACTCTAAGGTACACACATACCCAAAATAATTGAAAGCACAGATTTGAAGAGATATTTATATGTCCAAATGTCTATCAACTGATGAATGGATAAACCAATCTGATATACGCATATGCATACATACATATATATGCACCTGACCCTTGAACAACATGAAGGTTAGGGGTGTTGACATCCCTTGCCATTGAAAACCCACATGTAACTTTGACTCCTTTAAAACTTAACTGCTAATAGCCTACTGTTGACCCAGAAGCCTTACCAATAACGAACAGCATGTTGTTTTTTTGTTACACATATTGTTCACATTTCTCTTAACTGTGAATGGCATCCTTTATTATGGTCTGTGTTTGTGCATATTTTATGGTAGTAAATGATAAAAGACTAGTATCTACATATATTGTATGTATTCATGACATACCTAACTTTCTTAACTGTTTTGGTTATTTGTAGGCTATTTGCAAGTTTTTCAAATTCTTGCAAATCTCCAAAGAATTTTCTAATGTACTTACTGAAAAACATCCATGCTAAAGTGGAACCACACAGTTCAAACCTATGCTGTTCAAGGGTCAACTGTATGTCATATTTGTTGTATATATGTATATATGATGGGATATTACTGAGCCTGAAGAGCAATGAGGCTCTGACATGCTGTAACATGAACGAACCTTGAAAGCATTATACTAAGTAAAATAAAACCTACATAAATGGGCAATGTACTATATGATTCCAGTTATGGGAAATGTCTAGAATAGGCAAATTCATGGAGACAGAAAATAGATTCAAGTTTACTGGGGCCTGCAATGAGGGGGTAATGGGGAATTAGTGCTTAATGGTTACAGAGTTTCTATTTGGGATGACAAGAAAGTTTGGAAACAGACAATGGTGATAGTTGCACAACACTGTAAATATAATTAATGCCAATGAATTGTACACTCAAAACAGTTAAAATGGGAAAAATAAACAAGGGAAAATAGTGGAATCTTTGGTATCTTCACCTGGGTGACAGTTACAAGAGTGTACATACACTAAAATTCATCCAGCTGTACACTAGATTTGTGCATTTTATTGTATGTACTTCAGTAAGAAAAAAACTAGAATAAAAGTAGTTAAGATGGCAACTTTTATGGTAAATATTTTACAACTGAAAAACTTTAATGTAATACACCAAAAACTGTTGCACTGTCTACTCTAAATGTATGAACTGCCTTGTATGTAAATTGTATCTTGATAAAGATGTTATAAAACTAAATGTTTGAAGTCCTTCAATGCTTGAAGCTCAGGAACCTTTTCCTTAAAGGATCCTCCACCACTCATTCTGGTGACCACTGTTCTCTTATCTCAACTCCTAGTATTATACCTTTTCATATCACTCACTTAGCAATTAATTTTATCCCCCATATGACAAACTCTGGTGTCTTTTAATTACCACTACACCTTTAATATTTCATTATGCTTTGTTTACAAAACTAGTTTCGTTGCTCAAATTATTAAATTAAGACCCATATTTAATTTTTGTTTGTACTGTTTCTCAAACAAGATTAATAACAGCTCACTGTTAAATCAGGATCCAGAAGCCCTCTGCCTTCTTCAAATCATCAAAAATAATTCAGTTTTATACTTGTACAAATACATGAAGAAAAAACTTCAGTTACGTTAAGAGAAAGCATTCTGGGAAAAAATAATCAGAATATTCATTCCTTGGGCACTCCAATTAATAAGGGGCGTAACAGATTTA